ATGTGACACAATTTATTTTGGTATCACGTAATATCACCATTTTTACAGTTTCACATGTAATAAGTTTGAATAAATTAGATTATAGCCGCAGGAATAATCTAATTTTACATTACGTAAATAATATTTACCTGACTGATTTTTTATTCTTATGAATTTGTGAAACAAAAATTACATTCTGAACAAGCCCTCACTTTTTTGTTGATGTTGCGCTAGTAATAATCAAAAAAATATTTGAAATGTTGAAGTTGTTATTTGCATTGTTTAACTAAATCGTTAGGTTGAAAGACTCGTTTATTTATATTTTTTGTATTTGATCGATTATTTGAATATCTTATTGCTAGATATACGTTATGTTAGTCTCAAACAATATTTCTTAATCTGCAATCGATTTCATTTTGTTTGTTGCGGATCAGTTTAAATATGGGATGATGTGATGAGATTGATCGATTTATTAGGTAAATAAAGGATTATCCCGATTCATGTCATGTCTCAGTATTCTTTAATCAGAAGCGTGTAAAATGTAGCCAAATTCCGCTTAGCAGTTTTATGAATTGCTGCAAATGGGCGTCTTAATTAAATTTATTTTGTTTGTGATAAGTTGCATTTATTTAAATATTTTACCTGCCATTTACTTACTAGTTAATTCTTTCATAATTCGTGATTATTACAAAGAGAAGGAAAACTATATTCATTTTACTTAAATAGATTAATTGCGTATGGTAAAAAACAATGAATTTTTTAGTGATTTGTATTTTGGTTGTCAGAGTTGAGTTGTTAGATAATGTCCTATTACGTCATTCGACATGAAGTGTCAAATAAATCACTATGATTTCTTCGCATTAAGGACTTATTTTGAGATCCAAGCGCTTTATACAGTCAAACCTCTATATGGGAGGTTTGCTAGGAAAATGGGACTCTGAGCATTTTTTATTAAAATTTTAATTTTTATTGCATTTTAATTTTTGATAATGTTAGATTAAAAATTAAAATTTTAATAAAAAATGCTCAGAGCCCCATTTTCCTAGCAAACCTCCCATATAACGATATGTCGGGACATATAGAAATCCTTTTTAAAATATCGTTATATCAAATTATACCGATATTTATATGATCTCAAATATAGTGGGTAAATAAAATTTTTATCGGTATATAAAGTTTTAATTATATCGGTATATAGAATATCGGTATATAGAGGTCCGACTGTATCGCTACGTTCAACAAGTATGGCCAGGCGGTGAGTTATGACATTAATTATACAAAGTGCTACAAAAAATCTATTAAATCTTTAGGATCAGCATATTGATGTGATTTCAATCCAAGAAATATGTAATTAATTTATTTGTATTAATGAAAAAAATTCTTTACAACATAATATCATGGATTTCATTAATACGTATATATATTATATAATGTAAAAAGTATTTGACCAACTGGTAGATTTTTCGTAAAGAAAATCTTCTCAATCGAATGGCCAGCTCATACTTCATCATGAAATGTTATAATTAATTAGTACTTTAATAATCTTAGAAATCCAAATAATATATGAACAAAAAATTAAAAACATTCTCAAAATTACAAACATCCATCTTTAATGATATTTTAAACATGCAGCTACAACAAAATAAGCATAAAAATTCATTTAATAAAAAATACTCTGCAGTAGTTAAAGTAGGGAAAACAGCGGGAATAACATAATTTATTTTAAATTGCGCAATTGCAAAACTTAACATGTGTGTATATTTGAATTATTTACGTTGAAAAAAAAATTAACTTATTCTGTTCTTTTTTTAAATATTAAGTGTAATGGTTGCAGTCCCGTAATTGTACCATTAATATGACCAAGATGTAATTTGTCCTTATGAATACTATCTGCTGGTAAAGATACCTCATATTTTCTTACTAGAGAGAGAGATAAAATAATTAATTTCTGAATAAAATATACAAATATCCATTGCGTATAAGTATTATTATAAACGACTTACATAAAGCACACAACGTCACTCTTTGTTCAATAAGGGAAAAATTATTACCTAAACATCTAATAAATATAATAATAATTAAATTAATTAATAATTCAAAGAAAAAATCAAAAAAAAAAAAGTTTTTCGACTAACATTCTTGAACCACCACCAAAAGTTAACCAAATATTTTGATCGCGTTTTTCGTCATTTTCAATTTCAAATCTTTCAGGAATAAATTCTTCAGGATCCTTCCAATATTTTGATGAATGATGGATTCCATAAATATTTATTAATATCGGAGTTTTCGGCAAAAATACATGATTTCGAAATTTAATAGTCTCTGAACTTTCTCTTCGAGGTAATTGATGAACCTTAATAAAAAAAAAAAAAAATTTTTTTTTTAATTAAAAAAAATTGAATCGTGTTTCAAAATTTTAAAAACATTTAATTATTACCGGAGGATAAATTCTTAAGTTTTCCTTTATAACCATGTTCAAATATTTTAATTCTCTTTGTTGATCTATGGTTGGGGTTAAATCATCGCCAAGAACGCGTAATATTTCATCGCGAACTTTTCTTTGCACATCCTTATTATATAAAGGCATGATTCAAATTAATAAAAACAAAAAGATTATTAACGTACAGAATTCTTAAATACCTTGCGGGTGGCTAAGACATATAAGATGGTTGACAAAGCAGTAGCAGCTAATTTCATTATTAAAAAAAATGATAATATAAAGTTTAAGTATAAATAAGATAAAGATATAAATTAATTAAAAGTTCTTCCTTACTAGTATCATGACCGGCCAACATAAATATTGCAAGATTATACTATAAACAAAGGAACTTACGAATAAATAAATTTTCAAAAAAAAAAAAAAATAATTTGGTTTGAGAAAAGTTTTACATAAAATTATAATTCTTACTCGAATTTCTTCGTTTGACATGGGATTTTTTGGATCCTTAGAAGCGTATATCATACATTCTAACAAATCAGCGGTATTATTGTTTATTTTTTTACTCAATTCTTCCGTTTCCATTGATTTACGTTTTTCTTCAATAAGTCCATTATATAATTCATTAATCTTTGCAATTTTTTTACGCGCTTCAGTTCGATCAAAATACGGGAGATATTCAATGAATGGCATAATAAAATATATAGGTTTATCACATTCGGCCGTTACTTCTTGATAAGTAGTAACATAGATATTTGTTGGATCTTCAAGATTCTATTTAATATTTTAATCATCAATAATTTTCTTTTTTTTTTTTTTTTATTTTTTAAAAAAAAAAAATTTTATCTTACATTAAAATCAAATCCAAAAACAGCTCTTCCAAGAACGTCCAAGGTCAATCTGTAATAATTGGTCTAAAAGTTTAACAAACTTCGTCCCAATCACAAAAAATAAAATAACTCAATAATAATTTACCTATGCATAAGATCTTTGACTTCTATGGGTTCATTATCAACTTTTTCGATGACTTTCAGCAATTTCACAGCCGTTTCATTAAATACGTGCATGGGTAAACTTTTAAATGCGGGATTTGCAACATTGCTAAAATATAAAGAAAAAATTAATTAATGCTAGAATTGATCTATTTCTGATAAATGAATGTGTAATACAATACCGATGACGTTTCCAAACCTATACATCAAAAAGATAATCGAATGTCAATCAAAAGATTAATATCATAATCAGAGAAAATTAAAAAAAATACTTACATCACCGTTGGAAATGACTACATTAGTACCATAGTAATAAGCCGTTAAAGATCCGGGATACGATTCTTCGAGCGAAGTTTTAGGATACAAGTCTAATACAAATTATAATTTTAAAACAAAGTAATCCACAAGAAAAAATAGAAAGAAAAAGAAAAGTAATCTGACCTGTTTTCGAAAATACATCTTTTGTAAGTTCCAAATCAGTTGTAACAATAAACCATTCTCCACTGAACCAAATCTACAATGATTATTATTATTATTATTTTTTTTTTTAGAAAATTTTCTTTTGAATAATAATAAACCGCAGAAAGAATTATAAGATTAATTACTTTTCCTATTCCTTCTTTCTCGAGAATTTTACGCATAAATTCCCAACGATTGTCAGGACCCTTATCAGAAAAAATAGCTAAAACCAAACTCACGAAACTTAATGTTGGTACATTTTTAAGTCCTTCAGGCACTCTGACTTTTTGATAAACTTTATAAGCTATAAAAGATATAAACACCAAAATGATTGTAAACAACATTTTATTTGAAATATCTCAGTTTCAATGGGAAACAAGAAATTGTGAAAAACAAATCAAAAGAAAGACTAACGTAAATTTTTTGTTACACTAATTCGGAATATATACTACAACAGGCTAGATCTTGCTAATCTAGGGAGAGAAAGAGGGAACGTAATTCCCGAATGCTATTCTAAAACAGGAATGATTTTCGAGGGCTGAAACTAAATATAACCAATTCTTTTTTTAAAAAATTAAAAGCAATTAGTAATAAATGGACAAAAATAAAACCTTGAAAGACCTGGAAGAGAGAATTAAGGATTTAGAACAAAGCAATAAGAAAGCCAAAGATATAAATCAATTGCTACTAACATTTTTAGTGAATGAATTAGATAGTAATGATTTAGATAAGTTAAAAGAATTATTAACAGAACAGAAACTGAGATATTAGCCGAATTGGATGACCGAAAGCAAACAATCAGCATAATACTGTCTTAACAATACAAAAAGAGGAATTACCCAAATCACTCGATCATTCTAAATTTTTAAATAAAAAAGACAGAGACAAAGAAGAAACAATTAGAAATTTAGAAAACAACATCAGAGAACGAGAAATAACAACAAAAGCCAAGCAAAAAATCATTAAAGAATTGTTTAGAAAATTTAAATCAATTATTTATGAAGATACTATTGATATTTTGACTATTACAGATGATAATAAGGATGACATATTAAACAATTTTGGAGAATTGCAAAGATATCGAAAATTAACGAAACTCATTTGTAATAATACTCAAATAACCAGTTTACCAACTTTACCTAACTCTGTAAAAGAATTCTATTGCTGTTATACTCAATTAGCTAGCTTACCAACTTTATCAAACTCTCCAACTCATCTTGACTGTTCTGATACACGAATAAACAGCTTACCAACTTTACCCAATTCCTTAACAACCCTCAAATGCAACGATACTCCTATAACTAGTTTACCAAATTTACCCAACTCCTTGACTTACCTTGACTGTTCGAATACACGAGTGAACAACTTGCCAATATTACCTGACTCCTTAACTGAACTCTATTGCTATAAATCTCTCATAACTAGCCTACCAACTTTACCTAATTCCTTAACAAAACTCGATTGCTATAAAACACAAATAACACGTTTGTCAACCATACCCAACTTGTTAACTTATCTTGGCATTTCTAATACACTAATAACTAGCTTGCCAATTTTACCCAACTCCGTAACAACTCTTTATTACGAAGTTACTCAGTTAAATAGCCTACCAAATTTACATAACTCCCTAAAATCACTTGATTTTAGTCTTATCGATTTACCTAACTCTCATTAGTTCTCAAATGTTATTCTTTAAAAATATCAAACTGCTTTAGTTTGCTAAATATTATTTCTTTTTGTTAATCAAAAAAAATATTCAATGTAAAAATTGACCTCATTATTTATAATTAAACAAGAATCAATGCTAAAATATTAATCAAAATCTTTTCATTAAAAGTTTATGATTCTTTAATTCTATTAATATTCACATACAATTAGATAAAAAAACCAATTGTCATTAAAATTACTAAACTAGCCTATTTTTTAATAAAATTTTAATTTTAAATTATATACTTACATTTTAATGTTATTATTTGAGCTCGTAAAAGTAAAAAAAATTTGTGTATTTTAAAAATTAAAGCTCTTTTAAATTGACGAAATTATTTTTTTTTTAAATACATAAAATTGGGTATCTTTATTTGTGGATTAATTAAGTTATAAATCAAACTAATATATTTATGAGAATAATAGCAGATATAACTATCACGTATTTTTCAGTGTTGTGAATCTTCAGGATCTAGAGTACAAATGATAGATTAAAGCTTAAACAATGTTAGATTGAAATTAATTTTTTTTTTAATTAATTTGTAAAATTAAATTCAAATGATTATTTGTGTTAAAGCTACAATTGATAATATTTGCGAAATTAGATTTATTTCGCCGAATTTTGTAAATTGCGTTGCTTTTTAATAATATACATTTTGCTACGATTTACTGAAATTTTTATTTTGTCCTTACCAACAATTTTAAAATTTCACCCCACGTGTCCGGTAACATTTAATAGGGTGAAAATAAATTTTATGCATTGACAACATATATGATACAATTGATGAAGAAACGTGAATCACAAGACTTACATTGTATAATTTGATCAATTACCATATTGTTCGTTTGGTGGGTGGTTTATTCAGTAAAAAAATTTATTTTAAGAAAAAAAATTTATAGGACGTTGTGAAGTTTTTTAATATATAATATCTTGTGTGCAGTAAGTATGACAAATCGAAGCGAAAAAAATTTTAGCACTCCAAAAGTTAAGACCCATCACAATTATTACGAAAATGGAAACAAAAATAAGCTGTATAATGCGTCAAGACTAGCAATTTTTAAATTATTTTTTTTGTACTTACCCGACGTTTATTACAATGAATATTTATTGTTTAATTTTTTTTTAGGATCGCCCAAATTGAATATTTAATTTGATCAAAAATATCATATCGATATGACCTGTGGCTTAGGAATTTTTATAAAAGATCTTCCGAATGCATTTTTTTTCTCCAAAATTTTTATTATTTCGTTTGCTAAATATTCAATTAATAAAAAATCAACATGCAAACTGCCAATAATTCAAATGAGTGGATTGAAGGATATATTTTAAGCAAAAATATCAAGCACTACGAATATAAACATTTTAGTAATTTTGAAGTGATTGGTACGGGCGGCTTTGGAAAAGTCTATCGAGCAAATTGGAAAAATTCAAAACAACCTCTCGCGCTAAAATCTTTTCATAACTTTGACAACGCCACTGTTAAAGAAATAGCTCATGAGGTAATTACAAAATGCAATATTGTATTTCAATGTATTTAGTATAAAATCATTTATTTGTAAGACAAACTAAAAATTTATATTCGTAATAATTTAGCTTCAACTTCAACGGGAAGTTGATTTTCATTGCAATATCATCCGATTTTTTGGGATTACATCATCAAATCAAGGTATAAATCTTTAAATAATTAGCTCATTTACAGTATATTGTCTTTTACAACTCACTTATATATATTATTAAAATACATAAAAAAATTAGAAAACCAAAATGATCAATTGAAAAAATATTGGTTAGTAATGGAATATGCTGATGGCGGCGCACTCAAAAACTATTTAAAGAATAATTTTGATAAACTTGATTGGGAAGATAAATACAAAATGGCATTCCAGTTGGCTAGTGCTGTGTCGTGTTTACATGACGAGGGAATTGTACATCGTGATCTGGTAATCTTACATCATATCATATATCTTATTTTGTTTATTATGAATCTTAAATTAATAATTAATTTTTTATAATAGCATTCTGGAAATATATTAATTCATCAAGGCGTTATTAAACTCGCAGACTTTGGCTTATCGAAAAGAATTGAAGCAGTTTCTAATCAGTCAAAACTATTTGGTGTAATTCCATATATTGATCCAATAAGATTTCGTAGACGGAGAGGAAGTGACAATAAATCTCAACAATCTACGCTGAATGAAAAAAGTGACGTTTATAGTATTGGCGTGCTGTTATGGGAGATATCGAGTGGTCGACCACCTTTTTATGTTGAAGGGGAATCGTACGACCTTGATTTAGCTATTGAGATTTCCCAAGGTCTTAGAGAAATTATCATATCTGGTACGCCTTTAGTTTATGTAAAAATTTATACAGGTAAATATTTGTTATAAATTTATATTTAAATATCAAGTTTTCAATCATTAAATAGTTTATATGATCTTAGAATGCTGGGACAGTGAGCCTGACAATCGTCCGGCTATGAAAAACGTAGTTGATGAATTAAATACAATTATTACAAAAACAAATAAATTTAAAAATGATCAAGTTAATAATGAAGAATCAAATCTTCAATTGTCAAAACAACCTCCTTATTCTAGTTTATTACATGGAGAACTATCTAAAATGATTCAAAATATAGATCAGATAAATCTTGAAGAATATGGTTCGAATGTTGAAAAAGCCGTCATCATTTACGATGATACTGTTGATAGTTTAACGATTACGGATCTTAATAAGAATGACATATTAAACGCCTCAGGAGGATTACAAAGATATCGAAATTTACAAGTACTCTGCTGTAATAATACTCAGATAACCAGTTTACCAACTTTACCCAATAACTTAACAACACTCTATTGCTATGAAACTCAATTAACCAGCTTACCAACTTTACCCAACAACTTAACGGAACTCCGTTGCTATAATACTCCAATAACCAGCTTACCAACTTTACCCGACACCTTAACAAAACTCTATTGTGGCAATACTCCAATATGCAGCTTACCAACATTACCCAACTCATTAACATATCTAAATTGTAGTAATACTTCAATAACCAGCTTATCAACTTTACCAAACTCCTTAACGGAACTTGATTGCAGTAGTACTCAAATAACCAGCTTACCAACATTACCCAACTCCTTAACAATTCTTGCTATGATACTCAAATAACCATCTTACCAACTTTACCCAAATCCTTAACAATACTCTATTGTTTCAATACTCCGATAACCAGCTTACCACCTTTACCAAACTCTTTAAAAACCCTCTGGTGTCAGAATACACAAATACATAGTTTACCAAATTTATCCAATTCCTTAACGGATATCAGACCAGAATCTTTGAAAAATCAATCTTACAATAAATCTTCTACTAAATTGTTTAAATAATAAAAAAAATTTTCTTATAGTTGTTTCAAAAATTACATTAGGTTATTATGTCATTCATTACAACTTATTCAAAAAGAAAGCATTCATATAAAACCATTATTCAAAAATAATAAGATTTTTCTTAAATTTTATTTCATTTTATTTCATTTCAGTATTTAAATTTTCTGCTCAATCTTTGTATAAATTTCACACAATAATATCTTTTTTTCTTAAAAAAAAAAAATAAAAAAAATAATCTTGTAACATTACATTGTCAATTAAGAAAAAGTTCATTGTTATAGTAATTATTCACTAATTATTTGCAAATTCCTTATACGACTAAATCAATGAAAATAATGGATTAAACAAACTAGGTTCTACAAGACTCGTTGCTTTTAATCTGTGGCCTATAATAAAAAGTGTTTTTTTTTTTAATCGACGCGAGTTGAGACACACGGTTGTAATTAATTTTCTTGCAATAGTACGTTTGGTTCAATATATTATCACAATAACAACCTCTCAGATGTAAAGAAAGCATTTCTTGAGAGTACAGTTAGTAAGCCACCAAATGATATTATCTCCTATACTTTTCATCCGTTAGGAGATTGCTTAATGCATTTGTTTGTGATAAGTTTATACGGTATCTTCAAAATTGTAATAGTTAATGACAGATCAAGACAACTCAAGATATTTATAATTCTGTTAATGTCAAATTAAAATAGCTTTATTTTGCCATTTGCTATAATGTGATTTTCCACTATATTCAATAGCCCAGCCCATCTCTTTTTTCTTTCTTGCTTTTAACACTGTGAAAGTTTTTTCTATAATTTTAGAACTAGTAGGAGAACACTATTTAATGCAATAGTGGCGGCTAATAACGTATTAATCTTTGACAAGAGTAGTTGAGAATTCCTTTCTTTGAATCTTTTTATATTTTTATTTTTTGTAAAATAAAGGAGTAAAAATATCTGAATTCATAAATATTTTATGATCTCGAATTTAGTGTATTGTTTATTACATGTTCTTTTTTAAAATTGTAAACAAGCTTTGTTTTAGTCCAAAATTATTTTAATGTTGCATTTTGTGTAAAATATATTTAAAAACATATTGGCGCATTGCAGAAAAAAGTTTAACTATAAAAGTAACTTTTTTTGAGCTAATGACATATTATCCTTTAAAATCGCTTTAAAAATAAACTTTCCTTCTGCTTTCTACCGCAACACTCCACCTTGACGAACTTTAGCATCGCATGAAACATAGCGTTCCCACTTTGATCTAACAAAGACCGTCAATACTATATGGTAATTTATTTATACTGTCATCATTGGTAAAATGCTCCTTTTGTGTTTTTATAATAATCTTTAGTATATCAAGTAAGCTCAATTCATCGATATTAGCAAGCGAGCCATATTTACTCTGAGAAACATTGTTTTAAGAAAATTTATTACAACAATTTACTGAAAACGTCATCACAATAAACTAAATTATTCACATTGGTGCTTTACGATTGAACTTAAAAGGATCTAATCGCTTCTTGTCTTAGAGTTAATTATCAATGATCGAGAAAAATCGAATTAAGAGTTTAGCTTATTTTATATCAATTGACTCTTCCGCCATTTCAGCCTTTTACAATTCGCGACAGAACTTAGAGACTTTCCAAACAATAATTTGCTACCTAAACAAATTTAGGTTAGTAAAAAAAAATATTTTTTTAAGCAAAAAAAAAAAGTTGTGTTTAAGGTTTAATAAAATGAACAAATTGGCAATATCTATTTTCTTTTTGATGACTAGACTCTTGTTACTTTTTTAGAACAATTTTTTTTTCTTTCATCGTTGATTAAGGGAAATAAAAGTTCCTAAATGAAAAAATTTAAATTATTTTGATTTCCTTAAATTTTATTATAATTTGTGGTTTTAACTCTGATGACAGAACGTTGCGTGTATACCGGAATAAATATTTTTTTGGTTTTAGATCCAAGTTAATGTCTTTATCATATACAGTATTATGTGTGAAACAGAAGAAAATGATACCCGTTAACAAGTTTGTGGCATAGTAAATATTATGTCAATGGTAAAATAGGATTAATTTAAAATTAGTATTCTATTTTATAAATTTAGTTTAAATAATATGGTATGGCTCATTTCCCATATACAGTAAGTAAATCTTCGTAATTTTAACTTTCCTTTAAAAAAAAAAAAAAAAATTTTAATGTACAGTCGCGTCATAAAGTAACGCCCGATTGAAATTATATAGTAAAATGTATATAAAAAAATATTTATAAATTTTAAAACTAATTAAGTTTTTGGTTTAAGTCTATACAAGATAGTAATCATTTTTTTAAAAAAATATAACTAATTAGAACAGTATATACGGATTAGAAATTTCAATTTTTATATGTAAATTTTTTTTCATAATATATAGACAGAAAAAATGTATATAAAAATTATTTCAACTTTATAATTAAAGTAGCTCGTACATCTTAAGTCCAGGACGACTTTGGTTTATTTTTTTGAAATTATATTTGATTATCCATAGAATGATATATAATTCAGAGATAAATTGTAAAGAAAAATACATATATTTTGTAGCCTTAAAATTTCTATTTTTATGTTTTATTATAAAATATTGATCGGGCGTTACTTTGTGACAGACGCGACTGTACAGTATAATAATGAAATCTTTCAATGGAATATATATTACTATTTGAGATAAAATAGTTACTTATAAATTAACTTTAAATTAATTCAATCATCCATTACAACGTGATATCGATCAGTTGCAACTTTTTGAAGTCTAAGAAAAATATTTAACAGATTACGCTGAATAATAAACTTGTAATACTTGTTAGTTTCAATATAAATAACGCATTTATTTCTGCATCCTTGGTCTAATTTAAATGCAGAAATTAAAGATCATTTTAATTTGAATCATCTTTTTCCCTGCAGAGCGTTGACATATGGTATGGGTGATCGGCTATTAAAATCACCTTACGGAACATAGTTTATAATACGATCTGTAAGGCGATTTTAATAGCCGATGTTGACCTTGCTTTCTCAAGTCAACAAACACTTATTTACTTTTATTTAGTTTGTCCGGTGTATAATTTATGTAGCATTTAATTGTTACGATTCGCTAGTGTAGTAAGTTATCGCATCAAATCATTTATGATGACACGAAGAAGATTAAATGGGTAAAATAAAAAACTTTATTAATTAGGAATTCTTTTCTTTAGAATTATCATCACAAACTAGAATAGTCTAATTAAATCTTTTGAGAGAAACTTCTACGACTTGCAATTTTTCTCTAGACTGAATTCACGATCTATTTATACAAAATCGTTGTTTCAATTTACTAGCAGACATAATAAAATTTAACAAATAAAACCAATATAATAGAAATAATAAATAAAACTAATATAACAAATAAAATAGATAAATAAAATAAAGCAGATATGTAAAACATATTTGATATTTCGATGTGCACCGCAGTTGCTGTGCCAATCGTTAACACCGATCACCCATATTATGATATAATGAATATTCCAGCTCCGAAAGATTTATTAATAATCTCAGAATTATATACATATCTACCATCAATAATATTGTAATAATTGATTTCATAACCAGTTTTTTCTCTAAACCAATCCTTAAACTTTCTTATATTAGTTTGTTGAATCGTTGCATTACTACAAGTATAAAAAAAGATTAAGTACTATTAGTAACGTCATGAAGCTAAAGAAAAGAAAAAAGTCGCGTTGGTTCTTTGAAATTTACTCTAAATATGATTATTTGTTAAAATGGAGATTAATATACCTTGAGAAAAACAAGTAAAGTATTGTATTTACAGTAGTGGTAAGCTTTAAATATATTTAAAACTTGTCGAAACATTTTACAACTAATGAAACTTTCACATTGTCAAAACTTTCTTTAAAAAAAATTTGCTAAAACATCAAAACTAATTTCAATTTTGCAACCTCAGGGATTTGCAAATTTAACTGAAACCATTCAAAGACAAAAGTTGAAAAAATGCTGTGTTACACTTATTTATAGTATGAGCGTCAATGTTATATATGTTTTATACTCCAAAAAAATGTATTATGTAAATTATGATTGTAATTAATTGAGTGAATAGCTTACTAAATAATAGATATTAGTTTTTAAAATAGTAGTCCACGGTTAAAAATCCAAAACAGTTACAAATTATTAAGTATTTCCTTTATAAATAATAATGCCCGGTGACTTATAAATATGTAGATATATAAGGTACGAAAATACTAATTTACTGCATAACCATGCTGAACTACTAACCTTTTTTAAATTATCCTATAAAAATTATAAAATAAACTGCCAATTATTATCGTTATTGGATCATGAGCAAATTTGATAGTCGTAAAATGAAGCAATACTTTAAAAACGAAAAAATTATTATACTTTATAGATATGCCAATGATTATAGTTGTATTTATCAAAAAAAAAAGGACCAGCATAATCAAATATTATAGAAATAAGGGAAGTTATTATTTTATTATTTCATAAGTTGTAGAATCCGAAATAGAAACGCGTTTGGGAGTTTCTTTTTCATATATAGTTATGTACTGTATATCCATTAATTTGACTAATATAATATCATCGAATGCTATATAAAAAATCGTAAGCACAATCTAATTATAGATCAAAAAGATCAAAAAGCAAAATAACATAAGGAACACATAATATAGTACGAGTGTAATTGCAAGTTGTCACATAACTTATTCGCTCAATTTTAGCAATAGTTTCAAAAACCTTTAGATCTAATTTACTAGAAAAATAATTATATAAGAAATTTTTGTATGGAATAATTTTTTCGTTAATATTTAATTTAAAATTATTCATTGGTTAAATTTTTAATAAAATGTGCCGATTATAATCCAAATAATATATGCTATTATTTTCAATTGATTGATATCAAATTTAATTGAATTGCTAGAAGACGGTTGGATTGGTTTATTTGCTTGAGTACTATGAGATTTTAGAAATTTATTAGTAAATAATAATAAAGAGCTAATAAAAACATTTTTATTTAACTTACTAGGTAGGCCGCATACTGGAAGTTGGAGTTGAAGATTTCGCGTATCCTTGAGTAATTTTGGATTTAGGTATGGGACTCCTATATAATAATAATTAATATATCTTAATATTTGTATCCATAAATTATTACATAAAATGAATGATTTCTTTCTTACTCTCGATCTTCGTTAGATACTTCAGTTTCTTCAGGTCTCTCAAAGGTTTTAGTTGGAACTTCTTTTCCATGATTAACTGGTTCCTCTACAGGATTGATTGGTGTGGATGTAGTAGGACTCTTCGTAATTGTCGCATCAGGTTCACTACAAAAACATTCAATATTTATTAATCCTTTCTTACGTCAAACTATAATAACTAATCAAATTAATGTTATTATTTGGAAATAATTACTTGTTGGGTACTTTTGGAATATCTTCATTCTCGGATGGTTTGGGTGATTCTTCGGGAGCTTTGGGTGGTACTTCAGGATCTTTGGGTGTTTCTACAGGAGTTTTGGGTGTTTCTTCAGGTACTTTGGGTGTTTCTACAGGAGTTTTGGGTGTTTCTTCAGGTACTTTGGGTGTATCTTCAGGAGCTTTGGGTGTTTCTTCAGGAACTTTGGGTGTTTCTACAGGAGCTTTGGGTGTTTCTTCAGGAAAATTGGGTGTTTCCACAGGAGTTTTTACCGGCGAATTGGTTTCTTCTACGGGTGATTTTGGATTTTCCTCAGGTGATTTATTTATGGGTGTTTCAACCGAAGGTTCGGGAGATTCCACAGGAGATTTTGGTTCTTCCTCAGAAGTATTCTCAGGAGTATCCTCATCGGGAGCATCCACAGGAGCTTTTACCGGATCTTCTTCGGGAGCCTTGGGAGATATCATTGTAGATGTTGGTTCGTCCTTAGGAGGTGTGGGCATCAGATTTTCAGGTACCTCTACCGGAGTAGTGGGTGTCTTCATCTGATTATTTGGATCTTCTGGTGAAGATTCAGAAGTTGCATTTTGTGCTGATGTTGTAAATATAAATAGGATTAAAAAGTATATCGAGAGCAAATAAGTATTTTTTGTTGTGAATTTCATTGTTTTTTTTTATAAATTAATAATGTTAGAGAAAATCAAAGGTTGGAAAGGCAAGAGTTAAATAGTTATTTCGAAATGATTTTAGGAATGACACCTATTATTTTTTTTATATATATATAAATTATCATGCACTTTACTTGTTATTAAACCGGGTCTTTATCGCCAAGCGTTTCTGATAATGAGCTTATTTTAGCATTTCCATCTATATTTTTCAAACTATTTAAATTAGAAATAATAATTAATTCTTGCATTAATCATGAAAGTTCCATGGTATTATCCATAATTTTAGTTTTTAAATCGATCGAAATATATTAAAGAAAGATTTAATTACGTTTCTTTATTTATTTCCGAAATATGTAACTAATTAAAGAAAGGTCAACCAAAAAGAACAAAGATATGTTTGGATTTTACAAAGAATTATTATTTCATCATTTTACGACAATTATTATTAATATTATCTGTGATTAATTTTTTCTTTAAAACGCAATGGTCATAGAATATCATAATAAACCATACAGTGTTTCATACAATCTTAAAAAATCAAAAGAAACCCAACCAATATAGTATGGAGATTTAAACCCGTCCTTAAAACAAGAACCAAACCATATATATTTTTAAATATTTAATATTCTTACCATTTATGATTTAATACTTGAGTTGAAGAAAAATGAAATCATACTTAGTATGGCAAAGATCGATCGATCAGATTTGCGAAAATCCCAAAGAGTATCGACCAATCGAATTGATGGCGTCTCCAATTTCCCGATTTTATTGATGATTTCCCAAATATTTACTTATTATTCAAAGACATCATCTCAGATTTAGACAATTAGGAACGCCTACTTGACGAACGGATATGGCTCCTTCATTGAAAACTCGAACGTTTTGTATCTTATAATGGAAGAATCATAAATATCATGTTGCATTTCCTTCCCAAGTTAAATACATATTTAAATTTAGATGCGACATCACAGATGGTTTCGACGTGTGAATTCAATTCTTGCAACAATTAAAACCAACTATTAATTTAATAGACTTTAAATTCGGGAATGAATTTTGGTTAGAATTATTTAGGGGGTTTTCCAAACTGTTGACTTTGCTAACTACATTCCAGAACCCCAACGCACTGAAATTATACGAAAAATAGGTTTGTGCCGCAAAACTACGCAAATTTTGGTACATTATAATACTAATACGTTAAGAACGATTGATTTCTGAATTTTTTTTTTAAAAAAACATAGACTTTGTATTCCTATTTCCCTCGGAAAAAAACACATGCTTCTACAAAAAAAAACCGGTAACTAGTGCATCACGTGATTATTCCATCGATTTTAAATTTTAACAAATCTTCCTGTAATCACAACTATTTGAGAAATTATATTCAATTCTACGATAATATTCAATAAATTAATAAATCCAATTTTAATCAAGCATGATATTTCAGTCCTGTAATAAATATTATGTGAGTATTCATACGTTTGGTATTAAAGTGGAAAAGTCGTGATTAAGGGCGAAAATAAAGTGGTATAATCCTTATATGGGGCGCTTTTTATGATTTATTGAGGAAAATAATTTAAACGAGCATACAAAAACAAAGCGACCTATTCATTAGAATTATATCAGATTTTTTTTAAAAAAAATAAAATAAAAAAATAAATATTTATACAATATAAGTTATGAATAAGATTTCTTATATTGTTATTTTTTTTTTGTCGACTTTTCCGAAAGGCAAATTGTTCATTCGTCTGTTGTCGTGTAAGATAATTTTATTCAAAAAAAATTTATGTTGGCTTGAAATCGTGACCTCTTAAAGGTTGTGCTAAATAAGGAAAATAGCAGTTTAATTAAACGAATTGAAGATGTACTGCGTAAAATACTAATGTCTTTACTGAATTTATAATCATTTGATTACTAAAAAAAATTATTCTTTAATAAAATAATGAAAAAAATTTTGTTTCACATCACAATATAATAAGACAAAATTGCAAAAAAAAAGAATTTCTTGTTTCTTAAGTAACGTCTATATCATCTGATGATAGATAATAATATGTACATTTTAGTTAGGGGGTCGCGTTTATCATAATTTTACTTTATTCGTAAAAAAATTTCTAACATATTTTATAAATTATTTCTTAAATGAAGAATGCTTCATTCTTGTACATTGTATGATGGCGCTACAACCCCAAGTCCCATATATCAGGCTCTTTTCCTGTCTCAACTAAATCGTTCATATCCAGAATTTAATAAAAGATAAATATATAAATTATTCCTGTTTTCTATGCATGGCTAGTTCAGCGTTAATTCTAAAATAAAATCTTCTCGTCATAATATTCACGATTGCGAAATTTGCGCTAAAAATAAATTTAGCGCTATCATTACCTGATAAAATTAATTGTATAATTTTTAACTATTTGAAATTATTTTCGCTTCCAAAAAAATTTTTTTGTTTTATTTATTAATACTTTCATAGATTTTAATGAAAGTTCTTGATATTAAATTTTTTTTCGCTCGAATAATTATCAAATAATTCAATTTAATAAATAGTTTAGAAATTGTCAAAATTAAACTTTATGTTTATTTATTGTATTTAGCACTGAAATTCAATATGTGATTCCGAACTTTAGTTAAAGACATTGTGAAAATGAATATTTTTTTTACACAATTAATAGGAACGTCGCACAAATTACTGATGGAAAATGAATGATCGAAATGAATTAGAACATTCACATGCATTATGCATTCTGTACGATAATGATTTAACCTATTTAAATTTTAATTTATAAGCCTCTCTTAAATTTATAACAACCTCTGAAGGTAAAGTATAATTAAAAGAATAAACATAAAAATGTATTATCCTATCAAAAATAAAAAAAAAATCTGATTAGTTGAAGTTGGTAGACATGAAGTTTTTCTTAGGTTATTTGTTAAATTTGGTTATTGAACGGGAGTAACTATATCAGACTTCGATCGACCAAATAACAATATTAATATAGGACTAATGTGCTAAATTATGTGAGCTAATATCAGATATATTAAATCAGGTTACGGTACGCTTAGTATTATTTTTGTATTATCTAATTAACAAACCAAATTTAAGAGTTACAAAAATTATTATATCAAATTTCCAGGCTGGATTTAATACAAACTTTTGGCATTCAATAATATCAAAAATATAAAAATTTGTAAAGTCAAATTTAGTATCATCTTATTAATTGATTCAAATTAGTTTACTTTATATAAGTAATATTTCTTAACGTTAATAAATAATTTGTTTTTTATATTATTAATAATTTATTTTCAATTATTTTTAGTAATTAATTAAATTTAGCTAAGTTTTCATTTGCTCCTCTGGAAGGGCATACTTTATAGAAACCTGAAGTTTGTCACCTGGTCGCAACGTGATAGCCTCTGATTCGTCAGAAATAAATATCGATCTCGATCACGAAACTATATGTCAAGTTACGAAGTAGTAAATACATCGCAATCCTTCGTAATCTATTAGTTTCGAAATACTGTATTAGAGAATTATAATATCAGTTTTAATAAAATAGAAAACAAAATCGGAAATTAGCCAAAAAATTAGTTTGACATTTTTGCGATGTGTTAGATTATAATCGACGATGAACACACTAAAGATAGCTATTTTTTGAGATATTCTTAAATGTAAATATTGCGAAAATAAGTAAGTAAAAACACATTTGTTTACATACAGATAGTCTTTAGTTTAATGCATTTATTACATATATAAATCGTTTTATTCCTTCTATATAATAGTATTATGTAATTTACTAGCGAAATTTCGCGATGGTACTACGATGACTTTCGCTAATTTATCCAAAGATTTTCGTTTTTTGCATAGTGAGTTTTAAAGATATTTCAGAGATAGAAATAAAATAAATTTTTTTTTATCAAGTAGATTATCGAAATCGAAAAAAAGTATTTTGAGGCCAATAATGTGAAAGTCATCTCCTCCTATGAAGTTAGACAGTGTAGATTAATTTGGCCAATTTGTCCTCAGGGTCATTTTAGCTTTCCATTCAAAAAATGCAAGTTTTGTTTTATGGCTGATATGCCATCTGGCCAATATTTTCTTTGGAAAAATGACTTCTGGACAAAAAGTCCTTGATAATTTGATATATAAATGGTGGGATCTTTCTTTTTTTTAAAGTAGCGCTCGACATCCTAAATAAATAAATAGCATAGAATTTATTTATATTTTTCCCTTTCACTTTGCATTTATTGTAATAACCTCGAAACCTAAATAATAAACCTATCTAATAGTACAAAGCATTGACGATTGAGGCACTACTTAAACATTATATGAAATCGAATGTTACTTTGTGACATATTGTATACTAACACAAAAAAAAACAAAAAAAAAATTTCTATGAATTTTATTTTATTTGTTTACCCTATTTTTTTTCTAAATAAATTCCAATTCAAACGATATACATATTTTTTTATCATAAAAAATGCCTAGTCATCTTCCTACTTACTGTTTGAATGAAATGGTTGACAATTAGTAAAAATGAGGATTTTCGTTCATGTACAAATTTATGCAGAAACTTTTCAAAATTACAATATTTTATTCCTACCGAGTCTTATGTTGGTCTCTCAAATCAAGGTTTAAAAGGGCTTGGAAGTATTACCTTAACAGGCTCGAAGTTTAGATCTCAATCCAAGTTATATATCTACGGAATGAAAATTATAGAGATTAAAAAAAAAATGTTTATCCTTGCTATTTTATCGCTGCCGATAAATACTAGCCATCTAGTATCAATCTAAATATTTGGTTCTAAATAATCTTACCATTATATTTAACAAATAGGTGTTTGGTTTATTTCTGTTTTTTAGATGTTTATTAATAACTTCTGTATTAGGTTAATATTTTTTTAAAAGATTTTTTTCTTGAGATTCCTCTTGAAGTATTATCTAAGACGGTGTTGGCGGTAGTGGTTGGACTTATTAGTTAATGTTATTATTATCTATGATTCATTGGT